TCAGAAGTGATCTGGATGATGGGATCAAGTGTAACCCTGGTGAGGTTTGCTGATGACACCAAACTGAGTGGGGAAGTGGACACTTCAGAAGGGAGAGCCATCCTGCAAGAAGACCTGGATAGGCTGGAAGAGTGGCCTAACAGGAACCGTATGAAGTTCAACAAGGATAAGTGTAAGGTCTTGCATGTGGGAAAACATAATCCAGGAGCGCAGCACAGGCTGGGATCTACTCGGCTGGGGAGCAGCTCTGTGGAAAGGGGCCTAGGGGTCCTGGTGGACAGGAAGCTCAATATGAATGAACAATATGATGCTGTGGCAGAGAAAACCAACAGGATGCTGGGCTGCAGCAACAGGGGCATCACCAGCAGAGATAAAGAAGTCATTATCCCACTGAGCACTTGTCAGGCCACCCCTGGGATACTGTGTTCAGTTTTGGTCCTCACTATGCAAAAAAGTTGTGGACAGGCTGGAGGGGATCCAGAGGAGGGCCACAAAGATGATCAAAGGATTAGGCAGCCTGCCATATGAGGAAAGGCTGAGAGAACTGCGTTTGTTCAGTCTTGAGAAAAGAAGGTTTAAGCGAGACCTTATCACCGTGTTCCAGTATTTAAAGGGTGGCTACAAAGAAGATGTAGATTCCCTTTTTACAAGGAGTCACATGGAAAAGACAGGAGTTAGGGGTACAAGTTACTCTTGGGGAGATTCCAGTTGGACACAAGGGGAAAATTTTTCACAATGAGAACACTCAGCCATTGGAATAATCTCCCCAGGGAAGTGGTGGATTCCACAACACTGGACACTTAAGATTTGGCTGGACAGGGTGCTGGGCTGACTTGCGTAGACTGTGCTTTTGTCAGGAAAGGTTGGACCAGATGATCCTTGAGGTCCCTTGCAACCTGGTATTCTGTGATTCTATGACATGCTATTTCACTTAGCATTACAGATTTCATTTTCAGAAGCAACAGCTTTGTACATTTTTTCTTCTTGCTTTTTCAGCTCATCCTTCTAAAGTATTTTCAAAAAATCAATGTCTAATAAATAGACCCATTTTAGTGATTTTCCCTTCTTGCTATAATGATGTATTTTGCCTTTTGTTGATATGCAAAGGTGGTATTTTTTGAAGTACAAGTATCTAAAATCCCAAAGATACTGCACAGTTATTATAATTGTGTTTATATTTTAAAAACCTAACATTCTAACAAAAATCATTAACTAGATCAAACCAATATAATTAAACATATCTATTATGAGATTAAAACTGAATTAAAAGTTGAAGCTTATTGTGAATATAAAGTCCATTTTTGATATTTTAGTTCTGTTCTGCGCTACTGAAGAGTTTATTTACATTTTGGAGTAATGACATTTTGTACATACCACTCAAATGTGACATTTAATTTTACTTATTTTCAGTTTGCAGAAAAAGCTTGAGCATGTAAAGACAACACATGCACATCTAGATAAGGTAATTACCAAAACTACTGCTTCAGTCTTTTTGTAACAACAAGGTTGTTCAGGGTAATTGCAAGCATTGCATGCTAATCATGTTACCTTTTCAGAAGGGTTAGGGAGTGATGTGTGTTAAGATATTTGTAGGATTGCATTGAATACATAAAGGAATGTGCTTTATTGTAGGTAGATTCTAAATGGATATAACAAGCCTTACTTTCAAAAATAGCTTACAGGCATCCACTGGTCCAGACATTCACATCATTCATTGATTCACACGGAGAGTGTTACTGAAACAGATAAATAGCACTATTCTTTTTAATATTTGCAGAATCAAGTCCTAAATTTGTAGCCAATCTTTATCCTGTAGGTTTTCTGTCTAGTTGTTGTCTGTGTATGTAGATATCGGGGAGATGTTATTCATGACTTTGCATTCTTTGAAGCTGTAATAAAACTTCAATAAGTAATTAAACATGTAGTTTTCTATGAGTGCTTCCCATTTTTTTTTTCACAAGAAATAGTAACAATTTAACTTGTAACAGTGAGGTAGATTCCTCCCTATAAACTAGGTATCAATTCTGTAAACACATGTATGCTAAAAAAAACCCAACCAGTTCTGTTGATGTTATTTTTAGTATCTTGAATTAAACCCTAAAATATATTCCCACCTGCTGCTCCACCCCCACCCTGGTACTCAACACGATGTATGTTTGTATTGGGGCAGAATCTTTTCTCCCCCTGTGTGCAATACAGTGATGCTGGTGTAATGCAACTGCCAATAGCATTTCTGCCTTTGTGGCTTTTATTTGAGGAAATAAGGTAATTTTTGTGATCAGCATATCTAATTTCAAAGACGAATTTAAGAAAAAAAGGTCTGGTCCATCATCCCTACAGCATATAAACTGTTCTATGCTAATTGGTACTATTAAGCACCTGTCTTGTCCATGATGCACAGGTTTTATAGAAAGGCGCCCTTTTTAATTTTCTTTCTTTTTTTCCCTTTTTTTTGTTTTCCAAATGCTGTGATCACAGTATCTTTTTCTGCTTAGACCTTTCTCAAAAGCAAAACAGTCTTAAGTCAGGGAACTACTGAATTTACTGCCAGGCAACAAACAGTTACAATTACTGATTTGAGTACCGAAAAAAAGAAGTGCAAAACAACTTCACAAACACTTACATGAACACCTACCTCTCCTTCTGTCTTCTCTCTCCCCCAGCTTCCTCTGTTTTTTTCAGTGGCTTACACTTAGTCTGTCCACGTTCTCCCAGCAAGGCCACATGTGGCATAGGAAGTTGGGGGTGTTTGTGTAATGGTTTTCCGTTCCTCATCGCTGCCCTGTTCCTTAGAGTTCCTTCCCTGTGGTTCACTTGGGGCCTTGGTATTTGTGGAGTGCCCCTGCTCTGTGGGTAAACAACAAGCTGCAGTCTCTCAGGGGTGTATCTACCTCCTTTGGCATGGCATGCCTCCTACAGAGAGTCTTCAGTTGCAAGTGGCTGGAGGTGTGTGTCTGTCTCTCGAACAGGGTGCCATGTGTTTCTCTGCCTGAAGGTGTGGGGGATGTTTGGTTTCTTTTTTTTACTGTTGTGTAGTTTCAGAGCTGGCTGGAACAGGTTGTGGGACACATGAGGCAGCTTGATGGCCTCTTCCCACAGCCCTCAGCACTGCAGCCGCCTGCTACATAAGCCTTGTAAGCGTACGTACTTAAAGAGCTGTATGAACATATATGGGTTATAGACTCTTACCCTTAATATTGTCAGAAACTGAATGTACACCTAGAACATATTCCACTCACTCCTTGCCACTGAGAGTTAGACTGTAGGGGTTGATTTGTAGCAGTCTGAATATACACATTAAAAGTTGTTGTATTTAACTTCCATCTCCTGACAAGCAGATGGTGGAGGTTAGTATCATAAGGGTTTGAATTCACATGTTTCCATTGTAGACTCCACCCTTAGGAGTAAATTAGTAAGGTTAGCATTGCTTACTGTAAAATTCAGGCCTTGTTCCTGCAAAACATGAAACGAAGACACTTGGCTGTTTAATTTACTCACTGTGTCTTAGTATACAAACAAATACTCAAGAAAACAGTTGAACAGTACAACCATGGAGTAACACCACTATTGGATATCCAATTGGTTTCTGAGTCCAACAGCTGTAATTTCATCCAGAACCAAAATGCGTGGTGACCAATGGTCATTTGGTATAGCATAGGCATTTCCCCAGTTGGGGAGTAAGATGTTGCATCAGATGACTTAGATTTCCCAGAGCTTGCTTCACATCGTATAACCATATTAAGTGAGCTCTGATGTTTCTCCTGAGCTTGTTATTCCTTAGCTCCCAGGTGTAGATCTTTGAAGGACTTCTTTTCTACTTTCCAACTCCCAGTTTGTGGGGTGGGAGCATGGAGATTTTTACCCCTCGAGACACTTTCACAACTGCAATTTTGTGTTGGCTCTTAGTTGTTTTCATGAGTTTACAAAGTCATTAGATAAACATTTAAATTTGCTGTGTTGCTTATATTTAATTCCAAAAGGAGAATATGATGGCCTTTCGCTGTTTTCAAGACTAGGAACTTCACAGTCAAGATTTGCAGTTCAAAAAGTGTCATGATTTAACCCCAGCTGGCAACTCGGCACCACACAGCTGCTCACTCCCCCGTGACAATGGAATGGGGGAAAGAATCAGAAGAGTAAAAGCGAAAAACTTGTGGGCTGAGATAAAGACAGTTTAACAGCGAAAGCAAAAGTCGCGCATGCAAGCAAAGCAAAGCAAGGAATTCATTCACCACTTCCCATGGGCAGGCAGGCGCTCAGCCATCTCCAGGAAAGCAGGGCTCCATCACGCATAACAGTGACTTGGGAAGACAAACGCCATTGTGCCGAATGTCCCCCCCTTCCTTCTTCTTCCCCCAGCTCTATATGATGAGCATGACGTCCCGTGGTCTGGAATAGCCTTTTGGCCATTTGGGGTCAGCTGTCCTGGCTGTGCCCCCTCCCAGCTTCTTGTGCACCTGGCAGAGCTGAGAGCTACAAAGTCCTTGGCCAGTCTAAGCACAACCCAGCAACAACTAAACCATCAGTGTGTTATCAACATTCTTCTAGTACTAAATTCAAAACGCAGCACTGTACCAGCTACTAGGAAGAAAACTCTGCCCAGCCGAAACCAGGACAAAAACAAAAATACAGGCATTGTATGCACTGTATTTTAACCTGAAAATTAAATTTAATCACAGCAACTTTCTAGAAGGAAAGTACGCTTTCCTAAGCTACTGTATGAAAATGCAAGTTTTTCTTTTTTTGTTGCAAGTGGGGCAAAAGACCATCTTTGGCTGAACAGGGAACTCCTCGTGGAGCTCAAGAGGAAAAAGAAATTGTATGATCTTTGGAAGTGAGGTCAGGCTTCGCAGGAGGAGTACAGAGCTGTGGTTCATTTATGCAGGGAGAAGACACAGAAGGGCAAAGCTCAATGAGCATTGAAACTGGCCAGTGTTGCTTCAGATAACTAGAAGGGTTTTTTTAAAGTATGTTAGCAGAAGAGGTCTAGAGAAAAAATTGGACTGATAGTTGTTGAAGGTAGTTATCTGACTAATTAGGGATGAAGAAAAAGCAGAGGCATTCAATGCATTTTTTGCGTCAGTCTTTAATAATACTGATAGATGTTGGGCTGTCCAGTCCCCTGAGTTGGAGGACCACATATATGGGAACAGTGACTTTCCATCTGTGGACACTGAAGTTGTAAGGGACCAGTTGTATTGACTGAATGTTCACAAGTCCATGGGGCCTGATGGGGTTCATCCCAGAGTACTGAAGGAGCCAGCAGATCGTATGGCAGGGCCTCTCTTGATCATCTTCCAAAGGTCTTGGGAGTCTGGGGAGGTCCCTGCTGACTGGAAGCTAGCCAGTGCTATTCCATTCTACGGAAAGGGCGTGAGGGAAAATCCAGGGAGCTACAGACCTGTTAGTCTAACCTCAGTGCCTGGAAAAATTAAGGAGAAGATTATACTGGGTACTGTTGAAAAGCACTTAAAGAATAATGCAGTCATCGGGCACAGTCAGCATGGGTTCACAAAAGGAAGTCCTCTTGAACTAGTTTGATATCCTTCTATGATAAGGTCACTGGCCTAGTGGATGAAAGGAAAGTGGTGGATGTAGTTTTTCTGCATTTTGGAAAGGCTTTTGATACTGTCCCTCAGTGTCCTTCTGGACAAGTTGTCCAGCTGTGGGGTGTGTGGTTTCACGGTGCACTGGGTGAAGATATGGCTGAAGGGCAGAGCTCAAAGGGTTCTAGTGAATGGGCTGGGGTGAATGTACATCTGGCTGGTCACCACTGGGGTTCCTCAGGGCTCAATTCTAGGGTCAGTTCTGTTCAATATATTTATCAGTGATCTAGATGCAAGAGTTGAAATCACCATTAGCAAGTTTGCAGATGATACCAAACTGGGAGTTACTGTTGACTCTGTTGAGGGATAAGAGGCCTTGCAGAGGGATCTGGATAGATTGGAGCAGTGGGCAGTCATCAATGGCATTACATTTAACAGGTCCAAATGCTGGATTCTGCACCTGGGATGGAGTAAGGCTGAGCACAAGTATGAGCCCCCTCCTGGGGTGTATCCAACCCGCCACAGCCCGCTGGTCAAGAGAGGTGATCGTCCTGCTGTATTCAGCGCTGGTGCGGCCTCACCCTGGGGACTGCGTGTGCAGTTCTGGGCCCCACCGTTTAAGAGGGATGGGAACGTCCTCGACTGCATCCAGCGGAGGGCAACAAAGCTGGTGCAAGGGCTGGAAGGCACGGACTGTAGGGAGCGGCTGAGACTCTGGGCTTGTCTCGTTTGGAGAAAGGGAGGCTGAGGGGCGACCTCATTGCTCTCTGCAGCTTCCTGAGGAGGGGAAGGGGGGAGGGAGGTGCTGAGCTCTTCTCCCTGGCATCCAGCGACAGGATGCGTGGGAATGGTTCAAAGTTGCACCAGGGAGGTTCAGACTGGACATGAGGAAGCATTTCTTTATCAAGAGGGTGGTGAAACACTGGAACAGGCTTCCTGGAGAGGTGGTTGATGCCCCAAGCCTCTTCGTGTTTAAGAGGCATTTGGGCAATGCCAAGGCTTTAGCTGTCAGTCAGCCCTGGAGTAGTCGGCCAGTTGGGCTAGATGATGGTTTTAGGTCCCTTCCAACTGAACTATTCTGTTCTGTTCTGGTTTTTTAGTGAGTTAGACTAGTCATCTGAAAGCAGTAATAATTTGAAAGAATTTTAGGTTGTACAAAAAGTAATTCTCTGTATGTTCCTCTATGCCACTGAGAGGTTATAGTGACAAAAATAAGGTTTACGCAGATTATTTCTTTTATTTTGTAATAAATTGTTAATTTTAAACTACACATTTATTTATTATTATTTTGGAATAAAACATCACTTCAGACATCTTTATTTTCGGAATCTATTCTTAGTAGTCTATGAAAAGCTTTTTGTAACAGGGACGTATGGATAGGTGAAAAATATATTGATTAATTTTTGTCTGATACAATTGTGATGTAGATCAGAAATTGTAACAAAGATCAGTATGCCAAGAAAGTAGCATTCTTAAACATATTTGAAAGATTGAGCTTACTAGCCTATAAGAATTAAAATTCTTAGGCTTTCTTTGAGAGCAAACATCAGCTACAGCAGAGAATTACATGGTAGAAGCTGATGACATTAAACTATTCAAAATATTGTGTATGCCCCTTAAGTGCACACCCAAACAGAACCAAAAGGTGTAGCATAATATAGCAAATAAGAGCAGAATAGAAATGGATAATTTTTTTTTTTAATTTGACATGGACATATAGTTGCTTTTTTATGAGGCCAAGTTACAAAGAATACTTTTTGAAATTAATGTAATGAAATGTTTATTCAGTTTGGTAATAATAAATTGGCCCTTCCATTTACAGGGTATAATTACAGTAACATTTGAAGTTCCAGGAAATATAAAAGAAGAAAACTTACATCTTTTTATTCAGGTAAGTAATACATCACTGTCAACTGGAAAGTCATAGTGGCTTTTTATAGCAAATCGTCCCATGCCATTCTGTTTATGAAAACATTTTTCCTTTTTACAGAATCTTCTGTGGGAGAAGAGTGTGAAAGATAAGACTGGACGCACCATGGATGTGGTAAGACTGAAGGTTAGTCAGAAATTACCAAATTCTTTGTTTTGTTCTCTTCCTCTCTTCCCAGTTAAAAAACTGTGGCGTGCTATCAGCTACAGGCCTATCAAAGGTGCTACTGGATCACTGTAGCAGAGCAGACAAAATGGAGAAGAGCAATTTGCCATTGTTCCGTGTAGAGACAGTTATCTGCTGACTGGTGGAACAGCTCAAAAGGAGACAGCTGACAGAGAAGCAAACATTGATCCTACTTTTTTTGAATTGTGAGGGAAGATGTACAGTCCTAAACATCGGTGGCAGTGTTAATAATCAGGACATAGCTAAATCACTTTTTCATTTTTCACCTCCATTGCTTTGAAAGGTTCCACCCATCTTGCATAAATGTCTCCTTATCCAGGGATATAACTATAGATTGCTCTCTGTAATGATAATTGTTGGCATAATATGCAGAATTTGAATTTGGCATAACATAGCAGTGCAATACTAGTTGTGGTCTACACTTAAAAACTTTTTACAGTATTGTCAGACTGTAGTTTTAAAGATGGAGCCTGAAAGTATTCATCTTCATGAGCACTTCATATGTTTTTCAGTTGCATGGTTTTGAGAGTATAGGTGACAATTTAGGATATATTTTCATTACACCAAGCAGCCAAGTAAATAATTAAAAATGAGAATCAAGTCTGTCATTTGGTAGGCCATAAGTAATACAAGAAAATACGCTCTGCTTTGTTTCCTGAGCGCGCTTGTGCATCATGGGTAGCGACATCATTATTTTCATTTCATCAGAAGAAGGGTTATATTCTTTCTCTTTTAGCAACAAAATGAGAATATTCTTGTCTTCCTCTTCCTGACAAATAGAAGAAAATAGCCACTGATGCATCTTAAGCTGTCTGAAAGCAGTTACTGTATGAACAAATACATTTTTGTTGTACTGAGCACTGGAATCAAAGCATTTCTTTAGGAGATCTGAGGCCTGTGATAAACTGGGTGCTGGCCCTCAGTCAGACAAATACACCAAAGCAAATGAACCCCAGGTAATTACACAACGGGTTCCAAAGATTGTTGCTTTTATATTTATATCTTACCTGCAGTCATAATCCTTTTAGCAGTGATAGTCACAGAATTCCAATTAATATGTCAAATGGAGACCTTTTTTCATGAAATATTTTTAACTTTTTTTTCCCCCCTTGGGGTAAGTATGAGAGATGTTTTACAGAATGTGTTCTACTAGAATATTCTTTTTCCCCCCTTGGGGTAAGTATGAGAGATGTTTACAGAATGTGTTCTACTAGAATAAAGTTTTACATGGAGTGATGAACGCTCCTTCAGTATGACTTTTGGTATGTGAGTTAATGGGCTCTCTCTGACAGTATTCTTTTCTAATTCTGTTGCTAGTCGTTTTACCTCACAAATATTTGTTCTTTCTCCGGTATTCAGAGATTCTGTTTTAGAATAGTGAAAATGCTGAGCATGAGAGCTTAATCAGAATAATCTGAAATCAAACATTTTTGCTCATTTTACATCATCTTCAATAGGCAAATCAATCTTTCATAGACACATACATCATACACCATACACCATACATATATTTCAAGCGGCATAGTAGCAGACAGCATTTTATTTTTGCTCAAACTTGCTAGACACTGACCAAATGAGGAACAGAAGGCAGAGTACGGCAAAGTCTAATTACTATTTTTTTAAAAAATAAGGAGATGTGAGAATGGATGCTAGGAGTAGAAGTGATCATACTACATGTTTTATTTTGACTAACTGATGCATAATTGCCAGGTATATTTAATTTTTAAAGGTTTGTTTATATATCCTCTAACAGTTATTTTTCTGATAAGGGACTGGTATCTATTCAAGGCAAATCTCATCAGGTGATAGTCCAAGGTGTCCATGAGCTCTATGATCTGGAAGAGACTACAGTAGCCTGGGAAGAAGATGAAAAGAGAACAAATAGACTGGTCCTAATAGGTAAGAGGAAATTACGTATCTCCTTGTTTGAGCTGAAGAAGCTCTTCTTTCAGCAGCCAGTCCTGTAACTTGTCCAGTGAAAAGCAGCCAGCCTAAACTGGCCAGAATAGTAGCAGTGAGTATGTTCAGTGTAACCTTCAGTCAAAGGCTTCTTCTTGAAGACCTCCAGCAGTTTTATATCCCAGCTGAGAGGAATCCACACTGTCCCTTTTAGTGAAATAAAATAAAATACAGTTCTAAGTATTCATAATTTGTGTTGGCATATTTAATGTTATTTTTAAAATCCATAATTATAAATATGATGGGAATGGTTTGAATGTTTGATCAAATATTCAGTAATTGTAAGGAAGGTGATTATAGCCATTAAAATATATAAAATCTGGGTTTTTTTCTGAAAAACTTGTAAAGCTGAGGTTGTACATTTTTTATTTCCTATGTGTTACTCTCTGCTTTGCAAAGTGTTTATTACCCAAACCCGCCTGTTTTTCCTCCTTTCCCTTACTTGAACAGCTTGAAGTCTGTTGTTGCCTGTAAAATCCAAAGTTACCTTGTTACCTGCAGCTTACTTTTAATACTGCTCTGTTTTCACTCATTGGTATAATAAGCATTTTCTTTGCTGAGAAGAACTGCAGGTTGCTACTTGCACACATTTTTGTAACATGCTGTAAAATATAATGAGCTAATTTACTTCTCTTCACAGGCAGGAACTTGGATAAGGAGACCATCAAAGAGGTATTCATAGCCACTGTGAGAGAGCAACAAGGAAGCAGTTGACATCAAACTACAAAACCCATGAAATGTCTGCTTAACCCTGCAAGCTTTTTATGACAGAAAAGACCGAATGACATGCAGTATAGTAGGTTTTTTTCCTCTTGCAGTTTACACAACAGTTAAACCCTGAAAGTCCTCCTAAGAATCCCAGCTGACCCACTGTTCATAGATGAGCTCTTATGATCTTGAATCAAACACAAGGAATTCTACCATTCTGGATTTGGCTTAAGATGTGCCAGTAACGTGATTTACCTGTGCAGAAATGCAGATAGGCAAAAGACTCCTTTACACTGTACACAAAGTATTACAGTAGGAATATGGTAAACATGTTTGAAGCATAGTGCTTTCTCCAGCTAAGTCTTTTACTGATGGAAATGAAGTAACAGCGATTATTGCCAGTGAAAAATATTTTGTTTACTATTAAACTGTCTTCCATCTCTTTCCACTCGTTTGTGATTTTTGAATGTATACATCCATCCCAGGTACTGCTAAACCTGTTGTAGAAATGAAACTAAAATTTTAATACATACATAGCAGAGGCTCAAGACGACACGGAACATACACTATCTGCATAATAGCTGTGTGTCATTTGTCACATACCTAACATTTGCTTTAGGATAAAAGGCACATCAAACTAAAAAAGAAAAAGGATGCCATTCCTTTATCAGCCATCTTAAAAAATATCTTTGTGCTTCTACTAAAAGAAATTAGTTTGGAGTTTGTCTCCAAAGAGCTAAGGAAGGAGGCATGGTTAATCTTTCACTTCCAGGAGCTGGTGTCTGGATTGATTAATAGATAAAGTCATGTGTCCAAATAGGATCGAGCTCTTCAGTCTCCCAGTAGATGCATTAGCAGATGTTACTTCATTCCTCACATCATAACTAGTTTTAGATAGCTTGAAGAAGTTGCCAGAAATTAGCAATTTCTGTAAATTAAGGCATGGTGAAAAGAAAGAACAAACTACTTGCAATGCTGCTTTCCGTTTAGCGGAGCACTTGAGTTCTCATTTGAGTGTGATGGGTATACTGTTGAGAGACATTGTCATGGTTTCCCATAGCGTTTGCATATCTTCATTTTGAAAGCTCATACATATTCTCACACTGATACATGCTTTGGATTGAATAAATGGCACTTAGTCCTGCATGAAAATTAGTCAAACAATTGCCATCAGTGTTATGGATTGAGTTACAAACATCACGTAAATGCAAAATTGTGGACAATAACATCTGTATTTATCGCAGCTCATACTTCCATTCTTCACAGAGAAAGCAATCAAATACCTTTTATCTTATAAATGCCTCATGTAATTGAAGAACTTTGTTGTCTTTAGAAACACTAATCTCTGAAGTGCCCAGCTGAGCATTCATTTTCCATTTGAAAAAAATGTTCAGGGATTTAATAAGAGCTTCAACCATGAGTCATAACGGAACAAGCCATGGGCGTCTTACCCACTTACTGTCATATTTTAGATGCTTATTTTTTGTATTTGCTCACCAACCACATACCCCAAAAATCCCAGAATGACTGTCAATATGGGGTGGGGAGGGTTGTTGCTGTTAATGAGGCGTCTCTGCAGCTGGGAATCTTCTTCCCGTGTAGCTCATCCTGCTATTACTCATTCTTCCCGTTGGACGTTCCCCGTGCTGCTGACAGAGGTGGCATTGAGGGAGCTTTCGTCAGTGTGCACAGCTTTGTCTCTCTTCACATATTCTGGGAAGCCCCTGGGACAGAGAGCAGCGCTCAGGCAGGATGAGGCTCTGCACCTCTCCATCCTTGCCGACTGTCAGGATGCCTGCTCTGCCTTGTCCTCCTCTATTCTGTTCACACACAGCAATGCTGGTAACACAGCCAGCGGCAGGCTCTTCATCCTCTTCTCCCTAGAAGATTGCTGTTTTCTTTTCCTGGGTGTTTATTTAACTGACTTTTGCTTGTCTGTTCTCACACATCCAGCGAGGGGTGCTAAGTCTTGTTCTTGTGTCATGCCAAAATGAAAGCCAAGTGATAGAGCTCCCGTAAAAGCTGCCCTTAGTGAATCGATTGCTGGGTGCTTTTGGTATTCACAGCTGGCAGTTACATCAAGGACGCCCTTCTCCGAGGAGCTGGAACTAGGTTAAAGTGGGGTTGTGCTGGAGGCACAAAGGGATCAGGCAGGCGCTGCTCAGCCCTGTCCTAGGGTGGCAGTGGAGTGGGCGGTGAGGTGGCTGAGGGGTGCTGGGGGTGGGGGAGAGCGAGGTGGGGTCTGGCGAGGAAAAGCATTGGCATTTCTCCCTGTACAGGTCCCACGAGGGGCACAGCAGGGAGCAAGCTGCACCTTCTCGTGAGGAAATGGTGGCTGTCACAGCTGTGGGGCAGCCATCCACATCCGGGCCCACGTCCAAACCAAAATAACTCCTGGGATAATAACACTTCACTCCCCCCGCCTCCAAGATACATTAAGCACTAGGTACTTGCTTGGCATTGATCTCATCAACAAAACCCATGCATTTTATTCCCTAGCAGAGGCAGAGAAGGAGTTCCTTTGCTAGAGGCAAACTGGAATGGTTTGATCACCTCTGTGCCCTCACAAACATCAGATATCTACAGAAATCACCTCTCTAAAACAGCGCTTCATCCACTGTATTCTACTTCCCACATGTTTTTGTTGGCTATGTTAGACTCAAATGACAGAAGCGATCTCCCTCCTTGCACTAACCATCGTGCCGTTTGTTTATATCACCTGTCATGTTTAATATTCAGGAATTACACAGGGAGATGGATGAGGTTTAATTTTTCATTGTGCCCATTTTCAAAAAGGGTAGAAAGGAAGACCCTGGGAACTACCAACCTGTCAGCCTCACCTCTGTGCCTGGGAAGATCATGGAACAGATCCTCCTAGAAGCTATGCTAAGGC